CACAGAGGTGGCTCTCTGGAATTTCCTTATCTGACTGCGGAAACTTCTTGTTAAAAAAAAAACGCACTTCTCTTAAGCTCCTACCCTGGGAATCTCATTAAATATCCCAGAAAGTTTAACCATGGAGAAAAGACTAAAAGTTGACTTTTAGTCACACCCAGACTGACTTTTCAAGTATTCTGATGGCAGCTTCAAGAGATAACCTGGGAGAATTTATCTGCCTAATAAGACCAATTTTGTTCACAGTGAATTTCCTGATGCTCACCTTTCTGTAACCTATACATAAACTATAGTTTGTCTTTGGTCTCATCCAGCATTCAGAGAGAATAATTTACACACCATTGTCTTGTTTTCAGGCTCATTCATTCCCTCTAAAATAATGTACTACCCCTCTAAAATTTCTTACAGCCCCGCCACCCCATTTTCCCTCTCCTCTACATAGAGGGCATTTAAGCCTCAACCATCTGGCCCTTCTTTGAGTTTCATATTTTGTATGGTTCCATTTATGTCTTTTCTCCTGTCAATCTGTCTGTTATCAGTTGATTCCAGTGAAATGTCAGGGAGAGAAGAAGGGAAGCTTTCCTACAATCCCTACACTCCTTTTGACTATTTCTCTGCTGTCTTTGAACATACTATAATTAAAGTGGGATTTGACAAGTGTGATTCTAGGTAAGATACTCAGATAGGCTAATTTATCTTCCAGTTTCTTTCGACATCTTTTTTTTCTTCTATTCTTCTATCTTTTGGCCTTTACATGAACTCCTTTCTTTAAACATAACCCTTGATTTATTCTCATTTATCTGTAATTTTGAAAATTATCTGATACAGTCATTTTGGCTTACAGTGATTTCGTCTGGAGAGGAATTGGTTTCTATCTTGCTCCTATCTACTGCTGCAGGCTGATCCCACATCTAGCCAAGAAAGGCAGAAGAGCTCACACACTTCGCTATTTGAAAGCATCAGATGAGCTGGACCAACACTTGAAATAAGATGTTTCCCCTTAGCAACTGAAATTATTCATATAGATGACAAATACCAGGGTGGGAGCAGGTGTTCCTAGACAAATACATAGAACTATAAAGAGAAAGAAAAAAAAAACTGATGTAGATTCTGAGATATGCTAACTCTGCTTCTGTTTATGGGCATTAAAAGTCTTTTTCCTTGGAGGTCTGAATGTTCAAAACGTGTGTGTGTGTGTGTACCTCTGTGTAAAAGCATATGAAGATGTATGTATATGTGTGTGTCTGAGCACATGCATGTATCATGTAATTAACTCATTATTTGGAGAATTTATTTTATATTAGAAGTATTATAAGAAATTCATCTGTCACTGTGTGTGATTCCTTTTCATTTCTGATAATTTACAGAAATTGCAAATCTTTTTATGGCTGTATAGTTTCAAAAATGATACCTGGGGAATGCTAGAAGCCAAAGTCGTATGCCTACTATAGCTAGCTCCAGCAGCCTCTTTTGTCCTAAGACTACCTAAGTTTCTACCTGGATTATCTCCTAGAAGGAGCAAGGGGAAAAGGGTGCATAGTGATTATGTCTGTGGTCTGTGCCTCAGAGAGGTCTGTATTAAAGTCTCTAATATTTAATGCCTGTATAAATTGAACAGATTATTTGGCCTCATTAAAACTCATTTTTCTCATTTGTAAAATAGAGGACATGTAACTGAGAAGCTTGTGAGTATGAAATAAAACATGTAAGCTAGCATGGTATCTGGCATTTATTAGGTAGTTACTGAATGTTAATTATTATTGTTATTGCCATAATGATTATTTCTAGTACTTATTACTACTACCAACACTACTAGTATAACAATCAGTACATATAGTCTTTAATGTTTCTATTGTCCCTTGGAGTTTCTGTAGCTAATAATAGCCAAATACTCTACAAATTTGTATATCAGACAGGGGATATTTTTGTGGGCCATTTTAAGTAAAAGATGAAATTTTATTAACTTGAAAGAGTGCCCCTTACTCATGTCTGCTTTCTAATAGGAAATGAAAAGTCTATTTGTAATATATGAACAACTGTTCCTGATTTATCTGTTTCAGATATGGCTATGTGACTGTCAGATTTTATTAATGTGAGACTCACCTATAAATGTCATAATGCAATCCTGACTAGGAAAGAACACTAAGTATGCATTTCAAAATGAGTTTCTATGACTGAAATTTTGTTTAAAAAATCAACTTGAAGAAAACTATTTATTAAGTATCTATACATGTCAGGTACTTGACTAGATAAGCCATATTTTATGACATTTAAAAAATATTTATATTTACTGATATTATCCTGAGTGCATGCATGAAGTTTCTGAAGCAGAGTATATTGCTCTGTAACAAAGTCGAAGTCTTGGCTTTTAGTGTAACCATCACCTGAATAGTGTAAATTGTACATAAAGGTAATTTTTTATCTTTCTCCCCCTCACACCTTCCCATTTTTGGAGTCTCCTATGTTATTCCACTCTGTATCCTCATGTGTCTCACTTATAAGTGAGAACCTGCAGTATTTGACTTTCTATTTCTAAGTTATTTCACTTTAGATAATGGGCTCCACTTCTATCCATGTTGCTGCAAAAGGCACAATTTCATTATTTTTCATGGCTGAATAGTATTCCATGGTTTGTATAGATCACATTTTCTTTACCAGTCATCTGATGGACACTTAGGTTGGCTCCATGACTTTACTATTGTGAATAGTGCTGTGATAAACATGAATGCAGGTGTCTTTTTAATATAATGATTTCTTTTCTTTGGGGTAGATGCTTACTATAGGGATTTCTGGGTTGAATGGTAGTTCTATTTTTAGTTATTTAAGAAATCTCTATACTGTTTCCATGGAGGATGTACTAATTTATGTTCCTCCCAACAGTATATAAGTGTACCTTTTCTCCACATCCTCACCAATATTTGTTGTTTTCTGTCTTTTTAATAATAATTCTGACTGGTATAAGATGGTATTTCATTGGAGTTTTGATTTGCATTTCTCTGATATTAGCGATGTTGAACATTTTTCATGTTCTTTGACCATTTGTGTGTCTTCTTTTGAAAAATGTCTATTCATGTTCTTTGTACACTTTTTTTTTTTTTTTTTAGAAAGGAAGAAAAAGAATATAATGTACACTTTTAATAGGGTTATTTTTTTTTTCTTATTGACATCAACTTTTTTCCTATTGACATTTTTGTAAATGACATTGGTTTTTTAATAGGAAGAATTGTGTTGAATCTGTAGATTGCTTTGGGCAGTATGATCATTTTCATGATATTGATTCTTCTAATTGGTAAGCATGGGATGTTTTTCCATTTGTTTGTGTAATTTATGATTTCTTTCATTAGCATTCTGTACTTTTCTTTGTGAACACTGAGATGGAGCAGAGACACCTCTTAGGGGCATGCAGTCTCACCAAGCATGGAAAGAAAGGAAAATCTTATTCCTTTGAGTGAAATTCAAGGAACCTAGCTAGCCCTGAGATGTAACTGAGCAACTTAATAAGCAAGAAGGTAATAGTGGCTTAAAACAATAGCCAAAAAAATTGGAGTTATGGGATGTTTGGTCTCCTACAGAAACTAAAAGTAACATCTTAATGTATGTCCCTGAGTTTTTTTCAGAAATCCAGACCCCCACCAAACAAATTGGCTGGCACATAGACCTCAGATAAGGGGGAACTGAGGACTGAACTCTGACCTTTGCTCTTTGTTCCACAGTTCTTTCTGAGGGCCTGGAGGAAGCCATTCTCACATGCCAGAGATAACATTTTTTTCTTTTGACCCCCCAATTTATAAACAAAGCTTCTTTTCTGTAACCAATTGCAAATTAGAAAATCTTTAAATCTACCTATGAATGACCTGCAAGCCCTTGCTTCAAATAACCCTCCTTTGTAGGCCAAACAAATGTATAACCTCCAGGTACTCCCTGTGTTGAATTGTAATTTTGCCTGTAACTTCACCTTTCCTGAAATTTCCCCCTGCCTTTAAAAAACCTTGCTTGCAAGCTATTGAGGAGGTCAGGTTTTGAGTGAGTTGCCTGATTCTCCTTGCTTGGCACTTTGCAAATAAACATCCTCCTTTTCTCGAGCTGCAAACTTCAGTGTGGATGTTTGGCCTCACCACACCAGGCGAGTGCACCCAACTGTGGTTCATTAACAAGATCTTTAACCTTCTTGTGTAAAATACCTTCTAGGTATTTTTTTTATTTGGTAGCAATTGTAAATGGGATTGAGTTCTCAAGCTTGATCATTACTGGTGTATAGAAATACTACTGATTTTCATATGCTGATTTTGTTTGTATCCTGAAACTTTACTGAAGTCATTTACCAAATCTAGGGATCTTTTGGAGGAGTCTTTGGCGTTTTCTAAGTATAAGGTCATATTATCAGTGGATAGAGATAATTTGACTTCTTCTTTTCCAATTTGGATGCCTTTTATTTCTTTCTCTTGCCTGATTGCTCTAGTTTGGACTTCCAACACTATGTTGAATAGGAGTGGTGACAGTGGACATTCTTGTCTTATTTCAGTTCTTAGGAGGAATGCTATTATTATTTATTCACAGAAAATAATGATAGCCAGATAGATTAAAACCCTACACCTAGGAGTCTATATTTTAGGTGAGGAATCCTAAAATAATGAATGTGGGTTATCTATGCCATCCTCCTCCCCTCCTGAGAGGGTCTCCTTGGCAACATAATAGGAAGGATCCTGAATTCTCACCTAGTCCTTTGGAATATAAATAAATCTCTCCGGGAGAAAGAGATGACATGAGGGTCTCCAGCTTTACAGTGCAGATTGTCTCTCTCTCTCTCTCTCTCTCTCTCTCTCTCTGGAGTTCTCTAGGTATCTAAATCAGTCATAATTTAACCTCTAGCAATTGCTTTAATTTGCTCAGAAAGCTCTAACTATGCCGAATCATATAATATGTTCACTATAGCCTCAGATATATATGATTACATTTAAACTCACAAAACACTATTTTTTTCCCCGAATCTCTTTCACAGAAGGAGAATCAAGGGTCAGAAAGTTTGGCAAATTTTCCAAGGCCACACAACTAATAAGGGGAACATTGCTGATCAGAATGAAAGCCTGTTTAGCCAGGCATGGTGGCTCATGCCCATAATCCCAGCACTTTGGGAGGCCAAGGCAGGCGGATCACAAGGTCAAGAGATCGAGACAACCCTGGCCAACATGGTGAAACCCCATCTCTAGCAAAAAATACAAAAATTAGCTGGGCGTGGTGGTGTACACCTGTAGTCCCAGCTACTCAGGAGGCTGAGGCAGGAGAATTTCTTGAACCTAGGAGGCAGAGGTTACAGTGAGCCAAGACTGTGCCACTGCACTCTAGTCTGGTGATAGAGACTCTGTCTGGCAAAAAAAAAGAAAAAATAAATAAAGGAAGCCTGTCTGATGTGAAAGCTCTTTGGTGGCTAAAATGCTGGCCTAAAAGACAAGTTTAAGAAATATATATTTTACATCTCCCTTTTCAGTAAGCCTACATTAAGTGATTCTGAGGATATGGCATCTCACCTCCTATATAAAGGCTTTTCTGCATTCATTTGGCACAGTGAACCATTTTCAGATGTCACGAAGGAGGAGGAAGAGAACTGTTTGACAGAAAGAGGAAAGTAGGATTAAAATTTAGGAAGGTACATTTTCCCCCCTTTTTTACAGTCTCATACTATGGTTTTTTTTTTTTTTTTTTTTTTTTTGGGGGGGGGGGGGTTGGAGTCTCACTCTGTCACCCAGACTGGAGTGCTTTTGGCATAATCTCAGCTCACTGCAGTGTCTGCCTCCTGAGTTCAAGTGATTCTCCTGCCTCAGCCTCTGAGGTAGCTAGGGCAACAGGTGAGCACCACCCCACCCGGTTGTATTTTTTTTTAATAGAAACAGGATTTCACCATGTTGGTCAGGCTGGTCTCGAACTCCTGATTCAAGTGATCTACCAGCCTTGGCCTCCCAAAGTGCTGGTATAAAAGGCATAAGCCATCACACCATTAATAGCACCAGTCTCATGCTATTAATTCATTGCAGAAGAGTTGCCTGAAAGATTGGGAGGGGCATTTTTCTCGCCACAGGCTTTGCTTTCTCCCCGTTCCAATAAAGAAGTATTTTTCTTCTATTCGTATTATTTTGCTGTATGCTTGTAGCTAATATGATAGCATATGCTGTTCATGGGTGTTACAAAGACACAGGGAAGCTTTAATGCTGATTTTCTTTTTGAGTTCTAACTTCATAGGAGGTGAATTTAATAAGGGCAAAGAAGACAGACTAAGAATGCCTTTTTTCAATTTTTGCTTTGTATCATTAGGTGACAGTATTTTTCATAAAGGCATTATAGTTCTGATGACCTAAATTTATTCCTCCTGTTGTGAAGAACATGAGTTACCAATGCACTAAAATAGTCTTTATTCCTGGTTTCCCCGATTCTGCTGTAGTAAAAAGGACAAAGCTGGTGATGATGCCAAAATACTCTCATACATAATGATGCATTTGAAAGCAGGGCTTTCAGGACTTCAGCAAGTCCAATATGTATTGGGTTTGAGCCTCAGGGATCATGTGAGGGTACAGCTGTGCTTCCCCAGCTGACTCTGTCTCCCTCAATATCACAGGGGGCCAGAAATATTCTTGTGATTTTAAGTGTCATGGTGAGGCATGAGTCATCTGTGAATGCACTTTTTGGGGTTTAAAGGTCCTATGATGTATTACCCTTGAGAAAGACTGGAGAAGGAAAGGATAGAGCTGGGAGTTGATCACTGCCACTCATGTCCAGGCCCTACCAGCAAAGTCACAGCCTCATCACGGGTCACTGCCCATGTCTGCCTGTGCCTTGGTGTCCCTAAAGCCTGGACCCAAAACTCTGGTCAATGTTGGATAAGAGAGATCACCAGAGATTGGGACAGGCTATGCTCTGAGGAAACTTCCGATGATAGCTCTGCCTGTGGCTATAGTTATTGCTCACTTCTTTTTGTTGATAGGGTCTTGCTTTGTCACCCAGGCTAGAGTGCAGTGGTGTGATTTCAGCTCACTGCAGCCTTAGACTCCTGCCTCAGCTTCCTTAATAGCTAGGACTAAACTGGTATGCACCATTGCACCTGGCTAATTTAATTTTTTTTGTAGAGATGGAGTCTCAATATGTTGTCCAGGCTAGTCTTGAACTCCTGGCCTCAAGTGACCCTCCCTCCTTTGCCTCCCAAAGTGGTGAGATTATAGGCATGAGCTGTTATGCCTCACTTTTATTGAAATATACTTAAGGAGGAAAAGGAAGGAACCTCTTGATTTCCTCTCACTGTCTCTTCTCTTCTTACCTCCCTCAGTTGCTGTTTCTCTGGGATTTAGAAAAGAACCAAGTAGAGATTTGCCTTAAACAACTGGCTTATTTTACTTTAATTCATTAAGGAATAGGAGGGAGGTTGTGATTATGGTGGGAGGAGTGAAATAAAAGAACATTAATCTTTGTTGCATCCCTACTGGATGTCAGACATTTTGCATATACTCTCTTATTTTGATCTTTATATTACCTATGCAAGGTAAGCATTCATTCCATCATCCATTCATTTATTGAGTGCTTATTATGTTCCAGGCACCAGTCTAGGGGCTGATTATTAATATTTCCAATTGAAGATGAAGAAAAAATCTGAGAGAGACTAAGAAACTAAGAAATTAAGTTGTGCAATTAATAAGTGGAGAAACAGAATTCGAGTCCAGGATAGGTCCATTGGCCCTGATGTTTTCTTCTCTACAGCTGGGAGGCAGTTATTTTTTAGGGGTTTAATAAGGAGCTTAATAAGGTAAACCAGACCAGTTTCTCTTGAATGATTAATGCTGAAAAGATATCTTCACATAATTTGTTTGGAACCAAAGCGGCAGTGTGTGGAGACTATTATTGCTCCCTTTCCTGCTTTGTTTTCGGTTTCCTTCTATATTACCTCTATTCTCCTGACATCTCTTCCCTCCATCATTCATTCCCTCTTCTTTGATGTGGATAAGTCATGAACTATTGGCCTCATGTACAGTACTTTGCAAGTTCAGCCTCAAAGACCTCTTCCAATCACATATTGACCACTAAATCCTTCTCAGGTAGAAATTTGGAGCCCCTATGGTCAGTTCCTCTGGTGGCTTCATTAAGATTCAATGTAAATAAAGTTCCCTATCTAAGATTCCATTCAGAACAAAGTAAATGTAATTTTTAATTCATTGGGTATTTGAAGGATGCTTCTATTGACATTTTTAATCTTTAATAGTACTGTGGTTTGTGACATGATGTCTGGAGACTTTAGAGATGACTTTTCAGCTTATTTTGTAGAAGAAAGTATAAGATGTTTTGTTCAGTGTTCATAAATTTTTAAATTTAAACCCTTCATGCATCTAATTGGTTTTACATATTACTTAGTAGCTACTCTTTCTGGTTGAAAACGATTTTTTCAGAATTTTTTAATGGGTTATTTATTCAGGATTTAGAAGAATAGACCTATTGCTTAGGCATATTGATTGACACAATAATAAAGTCAGTCCTTCAAATCAGTAACTTTAAAAAAATTCTTTTATAATTTCAAGGGAGTTTCTCAACTATTGAGTTTTATTTTAACGGACAGTCATATCAAGAACAGCTCTGGTAATGTAATTCACAACCAGTTCTTCCATTATGAATCAAATGAATTTTTTATGGCTTTCAGAAATGAATCTCCACCCATGAGACACTTATAATGGTAAGAAAGTGAATGAAAATTCAGATGTTTTTGAAGTAATGAAACAATGCAGGAGTAGAACAAAACAATATTATAATAAAGGCAAGAAGTTTCCTTAACTTTTGGTTAACAAATATTTAAGTTGTTTAGCTGTTACACATGAGAACATGCTTATGAAAAAAATAACTAATTCCTAATGCAGAAAAAGGCAGGTAAGGTCATCTACCTCAGCTGGAAGCTTGCTGCAAGTGACATTTCAGGTTTTTTAAAATAATATTTCAGAAAAAAATACATTTTCCCACAGAAAGAAACAGATAGGTAGTGAAGCATTTCCTGCCTTTTTTCCTTGATTTTGCAAACTGAGTGAATCTCTCTGTCATGCTTTTGTCTCTATATCCTATAAGCAATACTTGTATTATTGCTAATTATTTTCTTCTCCAGACCACCTTTACTTCTGTAAGAAATATAGACCTCCCACTTAACTACTGATCACAAATACCCCATAAGGGCTTCTAAAATATTATCACTGAGGTTACATAGCACTGTTTTCTGATATGTTGTTCTAAGAATGCTAAACCCTGTTTGAATACTATAATATAAATTGTTTACAGATAAAAGTAAGACATTGGAAGATGTTGAAATGAACGTCTTTCTATAACCAAGAGAAAAATATTTAAGCTCTTGTTCCAGAGAATTAAATTATCTAAATTTAAATTATCATATCTAAATTCTCTGATAAGCTCTTGTTATCGGAGAATTTAGATTCGAATCACTTTTCTATTGATGTAGAAGAATTTTTGCCTTTCATTAACAAAATAGGGTAAATGGAATCTAAAAAAATAAATAAACAATTTTACTTCCTGAAAGAGCTAAACTAATCTTTCTTACCTAAATTTTCCCTATTTGGAGTATTCTCTATGGGGTTTGAATTTAATCAGTAGAAGTTCTAAGTTTAGAACAAGGTGGTTTTGGGGATGTCATCAGGTGACCTATAGGAAGAAGACTACCGTTGCATTTACACTTCAGGCTGGCCATTTTTTCAGGGTAAATGAGGAGAGTTTGGGATGGGGAGTAGAGAGAGCAGTGAGTCCCTCAACCGACATCTGACTGCTTCTTACTGTGACCTTTGGCCACGGCTGAATTTTTTTTCTTTAAGTTCCTGTAGTAAACAGAATTAATATTTAAGCTGTTTGCTGAATGAAGTAATAAAATATATCCTTGATGTGTTGTTTTATGACATGGATCACTGAGCTGTTTATACAATGCCAAATGACTTACAGAGGGTTTTTTAAAGGTGTACATCCCTTTAGATAAGATATACATCACTAAGCTAAAACAAATAAACAAATAAAGGTTTACTATAGACCACTTCTAAACTACCTTTCCTATATCCCACTCCTTAGTGACTACAAAGAATCCTGTAGAAGAGGGTATTGGTGTGGTTGTGTAAAATCAATAATAATTAGTCCTGGATATACACTAGAAAAGAAACACAAGTGAACACGTATGTGTGTACATGTACACAGGTATGTATAACATGTGTGCTCTTCAATATATAAAATATTAAAGATATGCATATCTGTATGTATATATGGGTACTTATCTATATTTCATACATATATAAATTACTTTGTACCTACATGAGCTATGTTTAGCTGTTTCATTGACTTAGATGACCAGTCTCTCAGAAGTGAGGATTCACTTGTTTAATTTCTACATTTGCTAAGATAATACCACACACAAACATTTACTGCATAGTTGATGGCAGCTACCCTAAGAAATAGAGTTTTCTCTGTGTCTTAGTGCATGCTATCCTTCCATGAGTGGTTTTTCTCCCTCTTACCTCTACCTTCTTTGTGCTGACTTCCTGGGTCACAAAACAACACTGAAGTTCCTTTGTAAATTTCAAAACCGCTTATAATTTAGACCAGTGCTACTCAAAATGTTTTGGAGCTGGTGTACAAACTGATACCTTCCCACCACAATGAGGGAGGTACAGGAATTAAGGGTAAACAATTAGGAACTTTTGCAGCAGTTTGACTTTACTGAGATACTCAAGCAGAGTCTTATTTTTCTCATAACTTCTTATTATATTTTATAATACTATTGGTATACTATAGATTGGAAATTAAGAAAGACAAACATGAAATAACATTCTGGACTTTTACCACAGATTGTTTGAGAAGCAATGATCTATGTGACTGTTTCTTGAAGCTGACTACATATCAAAGTTTTGCAGAGAAACTTGTTAAAAAGCACAAGATGGATAGTGACTGGAGCTAGGCTCTGTAAAAAAAAAAAAACCCTCCAGGTTATCTTGATGCACATCATGTTTGCAATGTCACTTGGA